TTTCTTTACCTTGGATTCTTCATTATCTTACATGGAGCAATGAAGTCATTCTAATGTGAATATATTTCTCATAATTACGGAGTTTCCATTATATACTTAGAGCTGTTTATTATGTTTATTTGATACAAATGTCAGAACAACCCCTGGGCATGGTGGTGTATGCCTGTAATCCCAGCAGTGGAGACGCTGAGACAGGTGGATTACCGCAAGTCCGAGCTGCATAGCGAGACCCTGTACCAAATAAATAATAAAAGATTTTTTAGAAAGAATATTTACCACCTCATTAACTCTTCTTATATTGTTATATTTTTTATTTTGTAAAATATATACTGAGCACTCTATCTGTGCTAACCTATGTTACAGCATTTAATAAGCTAGAGAAGGTATCTTCTCTAAGGATTTAACACCTAGTTAAGGAAAATATACAATCAGTAAAATTTTAAAAATCAGAGCTCCAATTACAGTTAAATGCTATGAAGACAATCTCATAGGTATGTGGGTTATAGAATGGCGCGGCTCTACAGAGATAGACACATAAGAAGAGACTATTTCTTGCGATCTTTGTCCTTCTTTATACTGGTGCATGGCTGAGTCTGCAATGTTTCACAGGTGGCCTTTGTTTTACAAAAATCTATTATTTCTTCTTCCAGTTGTCTCCTCTCTTCTTCAAGCTTCATTATCTCCTCTTGCTGAATCCTTTTAAGATGCTCAAACTTGTCCTGTAGCTATTTAAAAAATGTGTAGTTAATTCCAAAACACAATGAGGATTTTTTTTCTTTTCTTTTTTTTTTTGTGGCTCCAAATGCCTTCAGGGCAGGTTTGGCTGGCTTGAGTTGTGGGGATCGAACCACAGCAACCTAAGCTTGACTGCTTTGTTGAAGCAGCCACTTAAAGAACAGAGCTAAGGGGCAGGCCCCCCCAAAACACAATGAGACAGAAAACACAAGAGAATACACTTGTCTTTTTCTTTATACTACTCTAAAAATTGTAGATGCTCAGATATAAAATTTTGATTTAAAGATAGAATGTATTCTCGGGCTGGAGAGATGGCTCAGTGGTCTAAAGCACCTACTTGGAACAAGCTTAGCGAAGCCCAGGGACCGCGGTTCAATCCCCCAGCACCACATGCCAGCCAGCCCGCCCCCCTGCTGGGCTGAGCTGGCCACACACACACACACACACACACACACACACACATAAATAAATAAAAATTTTTTTTAAAAGATAGAATGTATTCTCATTGAATAAACATAATAAAACACACAGCTGTGAATAAAACACAATTTTCATAAAAATTCCACTTTTCCTAAGGAGGTCAATTATCTCATTCAACATTTTTCCTATAAATTCCCTTTGAACAAAGTTTAATAATTCCATGATCATTAAAATGCATATTTTGGGGGCAGGCAAGGTGGCTGAACACAGGTGTCCAGCATTTACCTGCTCTTTTGCAAAGAACAGGAGCAGCAGATAGTGGCTGCACAGTGATATAAGTGAACATGAAAGAACACTAGAATTGAAAGGTCGGGTAATAGGGACCTTTATAGAACTCCAGACACCTGGAACAGTAGCATAGCAAGAGATTCAAAATGTCCTATTACTTATCAACCTGGCTCCACAGTGGGGGAACAGGCAGTCTCATCTTTTCAGTGATAAAAATGAAAACCTCAGCAAAGCCTATCAGCACAGAGACTGGCCATCCTGCTGATTAGAAAAGTGAACTGGCCTGAAATCCTCATAGTGGTCCTCATGGAATAGGAATTCACTTCGTCTCTCCCCCTAGGATTCCGTACCTGGGAACTGCCTTGAGAAGAGACATGGTTTATGAACTTAGATGCTTTAGAGGGAGGAAGGCCTGTACCTTCCCTTCCACTGCACTGGCTTGGCCAGTGGCTCCCATATGAACCAGATTTGCTGCAGTGCAATGACCATGAAGCAAACAAGCTGAAGGTGCTACCCAGTGGGGAGTGGGTGTTGCAGAGTGAATGGCAATGGAGGGTGCCATCCACAAGAAGGTGAGATCAAGGAGCCTCATCTCAGCCTGGGGATGTGGCCGGTGAAATGTGGTTTCACATGGGTGCCAGGACTGGGAGCTCTTACCCATGGCATTCACAGGACTCCTCTCTTAGTGCCATGCACAGGGCCTATCACTAGCACAGCAGAAGAGGAATTCTTATTTCAATCCACTGTCCTAACCTACTGTGGGAAGCACAAAGAATGCTTCATATATATATAAAAAAAAATGCTTCAAAGCTCAGGGGCATCTAAAAACACCTGAGAACATGACCCTGCTGTCTACTGCAAATGCAGAGTAGGATATAATTATGTAACCATGACTTAGCAGTGGACAGCTACGCATGCATCAGCGAGGCTAGCATGTAAGAATGTTAATACGAGATGACAACCTGTATAAGAATTGTACAATAAAGGTGCAGGTGGCTCATGGGCTCTTCAGCTCTTGCTCTGCTCAGCTGCCTGCTGCTGCTCTGTTGCTAATATCTGCTTCTTTGTGCTTCTTTGGGGAGCGCACTATGAAAAACTCCTTTAGGCTTCTCAGCCCTGACACCCACACAAGCATGCTGGGGCAGATCTGAGGAGTGGTGGCACAGGCCTAGTTATAGCCCTGCCCCTGAGGCACACAGCCTAATAGGGTCCTGAGAAAAACCTCTTAGCAGAGTTAGCCACACTCCACTCTGCCTCCTCCATGTGAGCACCTCAGGAAAGAGGAATTTTACTTAGATCCAACCATAGCCCATCCATGTTTAATGCCTAATGAGCACTACAGCAGAGACCATCAGAGGGAGAAGAGCCTCTGAGCTCCACCCCATCTCTAGGCATACAGAGTGAGGAAGGTCCTGAGATCCTGCACCTGAGCAGGCGCATCCACAGTAGCAAAAGCAACAAGGAATAACACAATTTGTTCTGCCTGCACGTTGATGTGAGTCAACTCTTATCAGTCACACCCATACCTTGCCTGAAAACTTGCTATTGATAAGATTTGGTTTCAGTTTCAAAGAATAAAAAGAGTTATTCAAGCCTCAACCTCTCTCCCAAAGCACCAGTGCCTGCCGAGTGCCGGATCAGGGCACAGATGCTCCTGGTTCCTCATCACTACAGGAGCAGACAATGCTAGAGTCCTGTTTAAGTAGGAGAGCCAACATCAACAGTCCCAGAAGAAATCCTTGACACCCAATAGAGGCCACGAGTCCCAAGTCAGGAGTAACTGCACAGGCTACGTATTCCACTACACCACACCTCTTTCACTTCCTTGGTTAGATTAATTCCTATTTAATTTTTCTTGGTGCTATTGTGAATGGTATTTACTAGTTTCTTTTTCAGTAGGTTCATTATTAATGTATAGAAATGCTGTTTATATGTTTTGATTTTATAGCCTGCTGCATTACTAAATTTTCTTATTAATTCTAGAAGACTATTGGTGGATTTTTTGGGGTCTTCTCTGTGGAGGATCATGTTATCTGCAAATAATTATAATCTGAATATATATATATATATATATATATATATACATATATTCAAAAAAAGACAGAAAAAATATATATATTCCAAAAAAGGTAGGAAAAAATAAGATATATACATATATAGATAGATAGATATCTATCTATCTACCTATCTATCTATCTATATATATATATATATATATCCTTTTTTTCATACTGAGAAAGCATGTTTGTGAGAGAGTGGTGATACAGCCAAACAGCTATTTAAAGAAATTAATATTTGTAGAAAGATGACAGGATCTGCTCAGAAGATAATAGGAGAATGACCCTGAAAGTACTTAAGATATTCAAGGCTAGCAAGGAAACCAAAGGTAAATTTTCCAGAGAGAGAAAAAAGTTCTCTGGGGACCTCAACACTTGCTGTTCTTCCCTTCTTTAGGACTCAGCTCCATGACATGCAGTTCGGTGCCTCTTTTAACCCTAGTCATTACTCCAGTGAGCCGACTGTGGCTCAACCGGATGATCTGTAAGGTACAAGTCATAAATCCTAGCAGTATCCATGGTGATAACTCTGCTGGCATGCACACTGTGGGGCTGTGAAGTCGCCACCTACATTTCAGAGAACATCAAGGATGGCCTAAGGACCCAAGTAGTACTTCTCACAGGAACACCAGCCATTGCAGAGCGTACCCATGAGCCATTGCAGAGCGTACCCATGAGCCATTGCAGAGAGTACCCATGAGCCATTGCAGAGCGTACCCATGAGCAATGCTTTCTAACTGAGGCCGCCACAGAGAGCCCTCAGGGGATGCCTTGTGGAGCAAGGGCAGAGGCAACACCCAAGACTGCAGAACTGAGCGTTTCCAGCATGCAGCCCAAACCCAGGAAGGCCCAGGCATGAGATCCCAAGAGCTGCTGGTGAATTAAGCCCAGAAAAACCCCAGGGATAGTGCTGAGGCCTTAAGTGTCCAGGCCCCTGCCATACTATGTCAGAAATGCAGGACATTTAAGTAGCAAGTCAGAAAAAAGTGTTCTAGAAAAGCTAAAGGTACAGGGTATAATTTTGTAAAGGCCACATTCAGATTTTTCATAGTGAATTGCTACCTTTTCAAGAATAGCAATTTTTTTTCCAAAAACATCAACTAATATCTTGAAATTACTCCCAATAGGACACCTAAAAATTGTCATCAAACTGACAGCACTTGCCTCTTTCTCAGCATCTTTAAATGCTGTTTCTCTGTCCTTCACTTGTTGCATAAACCTTTTCTTCAACTCTTCTTCCTCCCTCTGACATTGATCATAGAACTGTATTCTTTTGGCTTCATATATCTCTTGAAAACTAAAAAAAAAAAAAATTTCCATTCTCATATCAAAATACTGACATACATAAACATGTAAACAATGTATTTGAGGGCTGGGGAGATGGCTCAGTAGAATAAGTGCTTCCCTGGCAAGCGCAAGGGCCTCAGTTCAATCCCCAGTTCCGAGAAAAAAAAAAACAACCAAAAACAATATATTTGCATATTAGGTCCCATAAAATGACACTTACATATATTCTGTTTTGTGCATCAGTGCAAATTTCATTATCATGAGGTGTACAAATTATAACACAACATTAATATGAAAGTAAAGGTACAGCATAAACACTAGGATACAACACTATCAAAACACTAGGAATTTGAAATGCTTACATCAGTGATTTCTTATACCTCTGCTTTATCTTACACATCGTACTTCTCCACACCCTTTGACAATAAAATCTGAGGAAACTTCCACATTCTGACAGTGTTTTCAAAATAGTTCAAATAAAGCAAAGCATCATTTAATTATTCACTTAAGTAGTTCAATTATAGCTGTCCTTACAGAGCCATAGTGACTGTAACTGGATATAACTGAATTATATTACTATAGTAATATACCTAATTTTTCAAAATAATACCATTCATATATGTCTTTTTGAGACATGGTCTCACTAAGTAGTTCCTGCTGGCCTGCAGCTCACTATGTAGCCCAGTCTGGCCTTGAACTCACAGAAGTTCTCCTGCCTCAGCCTCCCAAGCGCTGGGATTACAGGCATGTGCCATCATGCCTGGCTTTGTTCTTCAGTATATCTAAAAGCACCACCGGCTTTCAAAGTTTCTTCACATGAATTCCAGCAGAGAATATTGCAAATTTTTAAACCCTTCCATCAAACTCTTCTCAATATCTTTTAACAATTTTTTCCAGTCTTTCCTAAAACCTGACAATTTCATCCCTGGGCACCTGCTTTGCATAAACACAAAATTTTAAGTAAAATGACATTTTTAGGTATACATTTGCATATATGTCCTAAATATGGCCTTTCATTTTTATTCCCACTATCTAGCTAAAGATGATTTTTAAAAACCTACCATTCAGGCTGGCCCAGGATGTAAAGAAGTACAGCTGTTCTCACTGCCAAGTGACTGCACCTTGGCTTTAGGGCCTTCTAAATTACCCGCGTAGCTGTGAGAGCGGTTTCTGTGCTCACCTCACAGGCTGGTTGTCTGGGCCCACATCAGTGAATCCCATTTTCTGCAGTGTCCTGTACCTGTAGCATTCGTAGTGATGGATGTGGGTCTGTTCCTTCAGGTCTTCCATGTTGGTACAAAGAAGCATGTCCCGGAGCTTAACAAAGTCACAGTGGTTTTCATTTTCCACTAGTTATAAAAATAAAACCCGAAGCACTTTCAATTGTTAGCAGTCAGCAAGCACTCTTAAATAAAATCATGGATGAGATGCATTTAAAATAATACACAGGGGCCGGGGAATGGCTCAGTAGAATAAGCACTTCCCTGGCAAGCACAGGGGTTGAGCTCAATCCCCAATTCCGCAAAAAATAAATAAATGAATAAATAAATAAAATAATGCACAAATAATCTGCATAACAGCTATAATTCTAGATCTGAGTCCTGGGAGAAATTGCTGGCAAAATTTTTTCCTATTCACTTGGTTGTTTGTCTCTTTAGTGGTTTCCCTTGCTGTACTGAAGTTTTTAAATTTACCATGATCCTATTTGTTGATTATTGGTGTTTCAATTAAAAATCAATATTTAGAAACCAGGTTGGGAGATGGCTCAGTGGAATAAGTGCTTCCCTGGCAAGCACAAGGGCCTGAGTTCAATCCCCGGTTCCGCAAAAAAAAAAAAAAAAAAAAAAAAGTATTTAGAAACCAATATAAGTATGTGATTTCGCAAAAATTTTTACTATTAGCATATGAACAAAACAAATTTCTACGCATTACAATATTCTAACTTGCCCTAAGGCTAAGCAACTAATATGAACATTGAAGGCATAACAACTAGATGCCAATTATACTTCTTTGTTGTGAAAAATAGTTTATCATTTTTACTGACCACTTAAAGTGCTTTATAAATTAGGTGGCAGTTTAGGTTACTCGGGTAAACACTGGCACTTATGCTGTTCAAAGCATTCGGCACGTCCTGCACAAAGATAACACGCCTGTGGATCATCAGGTGAACAAGGGGATCCTGCTTAGAATCAGGTATCTGGCAGATTTCTGTGAGACTGGATAAAAGGCAAAGGAAGCATTATCATAAATGGAACAGAAAGTTTAATTCCTCACTACCATTAATTACAAGTTAACAAGAGCTGCCAATACTGGCTGAAGTTAAGATGCTACTTTGAGACAGTAAATGATGTATATTGTGTATCTGACTGAATCATCCAAGAATCTTCTTCGTCCAGGTTTACCTTGCAGAACTCCCCAAGGGTAGTGGCGGCCTCTGACCATCCTTTTTCCAACCTTCACCTCATCGGTACTCCCCACCACAGCAAAAGGCAACATGCCCTAGAAAAGAAGAATGACGTGAATCAAATTGCTTTATAACAATCCAAGTCATTGTATCCCTCATTTTTTTTTTCTGTATGGAAACAGCAGAAATAATATCATAATAAATTTAACAAAACAACATATCTATCCTGCATCTGATTTTAATACTTGGAAGAAAAGACACAGTGAATAACTTTTGCAAGTCTCAGTTTCATGTTGTGTGCACAAATGAAAACTATTTAATATTGCCTAATGTGAGCCATTGTGTGGTATACAACACACACAAAAAAGATTTTCAGTGGTATACAATTTTTCTCAAACTATTTTTGCCGCAGAACACAGGACTGCTCAGGAAATAATATTCACTATTGTACATCTAAAGCTAATATAGACTGGCTAGGAAGACACAGGGGCTGAGGGTTTGATCCCCAGGCCTGCCGTGACAGCCATGCCCCCGGGGCGCGCTAAGATGGCAACTGAGACCGGGCGTGGTGGTGCGCACTGTGATCCCAGCGCTTGGGAGGCTGAACACAGGCGGATCACTACGAGTCTGATCTACGTAGCGAGATCCTATAGACCCTGTCCTAAATTTAAAAAATTAATAAAGCTGATATAGAAACTGTAAGACAGAGGTACTAAAATAGTTGAAATTATATTATATTAAAATATAAAATATAATATATTAAAATTATAATATTAACATAAGTCACTAATTGATATGCTATATAAATATATGAATAAACAGGAACATATATATACATAAATATCCCAATGAATTCTAAATATAATTCAGAGCATAGGGGTCTCCTTGTGATCTTAAGTGTCAATACAATGTAACCCAGTGGATAGCTATGAGGATGATAAGCCAATAAGAAGAGCAGCCAAAGCTAAGGGGTCTTGGACCAGGTGCAAAGGCAGGAATAGTCAACGTAGACTCTTGGTCTATCGGAAATTGTAATGAATCCCTGTGCCGGAAAAGTGACAAACACAGCATATATGAGTAGAGTATTTTCATTGCTTCAGACTTTGGCAACTCTTAGGGATGGACCGAATGCCCTTTGAATAAAAGAATGTGTGTATGAGTCTTTTGGTCAGTAGTCATTGGGCAGCAGTTGAAGTGGAATATATTTTTTAAATTTTTAAAATTTTTTTTATTTTAGAGAAGGGTCCACAGGGTGTTCAGGGTCTCCCTCCAAGATTGGACTCATAATGATTCTCCTGTTTACAGAATCCCAAGAGCTGGGATTACAGGCCCATGCCGCCACACCCAGTTTCAATTGCCATCTCTGCATGCCCCAGGGGTGGGGCTGGCAAGGCAGGACGGGGGGTCAAATCCCTGACCCCTGCGCCTGCTTGCAGGTGCCTTAATCCACTGAGCTATTTGGCCGGTCCTTTTAATTTTCATTTATCTATTTATTTGATACAGCGTCTCACTACACAGCTTGTATTCATAGTGATCCTCCTGTTTCAGCTTCCCCAGCACTGTGATTACAGGCGTGTGCCACTATGCCCGGTTTTGGCACTAGTGTGGTGTACCTGGAGTTCCAGGGCCAGCACAGCATGCGGTACCGGTGATCGAACTTGGGTCCTTGCGCTTGCCAGGCAGGCGCTTAGAGAGCTGAGCTCTCTCCCCAATCAAAGTGGAATAGTATGACTTGTGTCTAGGTATCTCCTTAACTTGCCAAAGCAGTTGCATATATCTGTGAATGGACCAAGGTTAACTGAAAGCTTTAAGTGAGTGAACAGTGAGTTGTGTGAACTAAATGTAAAAAACCTCTGTTCAGCTGGGGAGATAGCTCAGGGGCAGAACCACCTACCTTGGCAAGAGTTCGGTCTTGGTCCTGAGTTCAGTCCCTGGTACCAAAACCCAAACAGTGTTGATTCTTGGCAAACATTTTCAAAATCAAAAAATAAAATTTTCCCCTCACTTAGCTTTTGGGGAAAATACACTGCTTAGTGACTCTTTTTCAGATACAGGTGATACTATGTGACTAATATTTTTTATTTTAAGTTTTAATTTTTGCTACCAGAAATTGAACTCACAACCTTGCACTTGCCAGGCAGGCGCTGTGCCACTGAGCTATCTCCCCAGTCCCTGTGACTAATATTATAACTTATAAATTGTATTTCACTTGCATATAAAACAATTACTATTCAACAATTTTTTTAGTTTTTTTTTTTTTTTTTTTAGTACCAAGGCTTGAACTCAGGGCCTTGCACTTGCCAGGCAAGTGCTTATTTTACTGCGCTATCTCCCCAGCCCCCTATTCAACAGTTGAAAGCTTACATTCATTGAGGAGTTCGTCTGAGCGATACTTTCATCATCTGTTGGGAACTGATATATCTGGATGCCGTTGCTGATCAATTCACTCATTATCTTACTCTTGAACTTCTGTAAGTCATTTTTAGAAACTGTATCTGCCTTGGCAATCAATGGTATAATGTTCACCTATTAAGAAGAAAAATGAAATTTCATCTCTGAAGATTCATCATTTATCCTGTAGTATTTACAGTCTAAAATTTATAGCCTCTGGAAAAAATTTATGCAACTGGTTGTCACTCTGCCCTCCAAACACTGTTTTCCTCAAACCATCAAGGACTTGGAAGATCCATCTCTTACCAGAATGCAGGTTTAGAGTTTTCCATCTTTTGTCTTATAAAAATCTCTACTTCCAACCCATCTGAAATTAGTAAAACATAGTAGGATGAAGTAGGCTGTTTATTTTATTATCAATTGTATTTCCTATTAAAGTAAGTTACATGAAGGAGAGACCATCAAACTTTTAGAAGAGATGGTGTTCCTTTTAACCGTGCTTTGTGTTCACCACCTTCTCTGTAGATACATAATAACACTCCATTTCCGCATACTCGTACTGTACTTATATGCACTTGCAGGCAGATTTGCTTGTGTTTTTCAGTAACCACCTAAGGATAATGCAAACTTTTTTTACATATTTAGTACAGAGTCTTCAGGGGTCTCACTACACAGATTGGACTCATAGTGATCCTCCTGTTTTCAGCCTTCCAGGCGCTCAGATTGCAGGTGTGCGCCATCACGCCCAGTCTTAATTGTCATCTCAGTGCACTCCGGTGACAGGGCCGGCACAGCACGCTGGGGATCCAACCACAGTCCCTGAGCTCCCTGGCAGGGCCTACTGCAAACATTTTTATTATAAGTTCAAAAGGCTGACAGTATATGTGTATATGAGTGAAAACCACCTCACTAGCAAGCTTGTTCCTTTGTAATTAAATAAAGAAATTATTTCCATATTTGACATTAAATATTAGCGGAATTGGGTTTGAATTTTTTACTTATAAGCATTTTCCTAGTTTGACATTATGATCACTTCTATGTATTTAGATTTATATAAATTTTATAGAAAATATTAGTATGAAAAATTCAGGGGGCTGGCGAGATAGTTCAGAGGGCCAAAGTGCTTGCTTAGGCAAGCTTAGGCAAGCACAGGGACCACAGTTTGATCCCTGGCACCACATGCCGCACCAGCCCTGCCCCAGAGCAGGCTGAGCTGGCCAGAGTCCCGGCGTAGTGGCGCATGCTTGTAGTCCCAGTGCTAGGGATGCTGAAAACAGGAGGATCACTGTGAGTCCAAGCTGCATAGTGAGATCCTGTAACAGCCAAATACATTTTAAAAATAAAGCAAAGAAAAATTCAGAACTATTACTATTAAAATACCTTCTTAAATCATAACTATGCATGTTAAAATCTATAAGGTAGTAAGAATAATTAGGTATCAGTTTTAAGTAGATTGGTTTGGTTTTAAATTTCTCAAAGCACATTTTTCTTTTTCTTTTAAAGCACATTTTTAAATACCTGGAAGAATTTGAATTATCAATATTATTATATAGATAGTAAAAATTTCATATAGTATTTCAATATAGAATTTCCAAAATGAAGAGCAGAAATTGCTGAGGTCGATTCAAGCCTAAAGTAGATTTTTACAATTGTACTGGGCAGTCCAGCCTGGAAAAAGACATCTTGCAGTAGTGATATAAGTCATTCACATGTACACAATGGAAACGTCCCATGTTAATAATTATTGGGCTGGCCAGATAGCTCAGCGGATTAAAGTGCCTGCTCAGGCAGACTCAGGGACCAGGGGTTCGATCCCCATGCCGTGCTGGCCCTACCCCCAGGGTGCACTGAGCCAGCGATTGAGACTGGGTGTGGTGGCGTGCACCTTTTATTCTAGATATATATGAAGGATTCTTTTTTTTTTTTTTGGTCTGGCTCAGGCTGCCTTAAGGGTGAGTCTGTATATATCTTTTATAATTTTTATTCTCTCTCTCTCTCTCTCTCTCTCTCTCTCTCTCTCTCTCTATATATATATATATATATATCCCTGCCTTTATATAAGGTCCTCATAAAAATTGGAAATTAGGGATATCCTTTACTGTATCTGGGAAATGACTTGATGATGGCAGGTGACCATAAAACTAATCCTGTGTCCCTGACTGTGAAATATAGTAAGAAATTGAAGCAGATTTTTTTTTTTTTTTGGCAGAACCGGGATTTGAACTCAGGCCCTTTCACTTGCCAGGGAAGCACTTATTCCACTGAGCCATCTCCCCAGCCCAAATGAAATGTACTCTTTGTGTGTGTGTGTGTGTGTGTGTGTGTGTGTGTGTGGTACCGGGGATTGAACCCAGCAACCTGCACTTGCCAGGCAAGTGCTTATTTTACCCAGCTATTTCCCCAGCCCCTTGAAGCAGATTTTCATTTAACTTCCTTTTTTAAACTTGATGTCACTTGTCATTTTTTTCCCCAGATGGAACAACACACAACAAGGGTTAAGACTTTTTGATAAAGGAGCCTAAGATTCGAGCCTTTCCGCTCTGCCACCGAGCAAGGTTCCCAGCCGTGGTTTCATCGGACCTGGGCGCAGACCACCATCTGCTGGGGAGCAGTTTCAGTCACAGGCATGCGGCTTCTCTACAGAAAAGCAAACACTCTGCACAGTCACGTGAGATCACTTGACACGGATACAAGAAGAGCCACCTAAGTAGTACAGAGGAAGAACTTTTCTTCCGGTACTGGGGCCTGAACTCAGGACCTTGTGCTTGCCATGCAGGCGCTTAGTCTACTGAGCCATCTCCCCGGCCCTCAGAGGAAGAAATTGAGTCTCCATAATTTTCCCAGCGCCACACAGACTAGGAGCGGTAGGTCAGGTTTTGAAATCAGACAACTTGAAACAACTGCGCAGGATTTGAATCCCACAAAGCTCAAGATGCTTCCCCGAGGCCACAGAAAGCTAAGATGTAAGGAGTTATGTAAAAGTGTTTTCACTATGTATTGCAACAAATACTGTGAAATTCATATTACCTTAAGAGAAATTCTCCTTTTTTGTTTTTTTTGTGCGGAACCGGGGATTGAATTCAGGCCCTTGTGCTTGCCAGGGAAGCGCTCATTCCACTGAGCCATCTCCCCGGCCCCTCTTAAGAGAAATTCTGTATCACTTTTAATTTTTTAATTTTAACTTGTACTCTATTTAAATTTTTATTTTTTTAATTTTAGGGGAGGGTCTACAAGGTGTTCAGGGTCTCATTACTAGATTGGACTCTAGTGATTCTCCTGTTTACAGCCTTCTAAGGGCTGGGATTACAGGCGCGCACCACCACGCCCAGTCTCAATTGCTGTCTCAGCAGCCCTGGGGGGGGGGTGCGCTGACACCCCAGGCCTGGGGATCAAACCCCTGGCCTTTGCACTTGCTTGCAGGTGCTTTAATCCACTGAGCTATTTGGCTGGCCCTTGTACTCTCTTTATAAATAAATAAATAAATAAATAAATAAATAAATAAAATTTAAAAAGTGCTTTCACTAACAGCAAATCCTGTGAACTTTTATTCTGGTATTTAAATTCATTTAATAGAATAGTTTTCCATACATTCAAATCACATGATAAAACATTTTTTAAAATGATTAGAAAGTGAATCAAACAAACAGAGTCTAGTAAAGTTCAACAAGACTGTTCTAAAAACATGGGAATAAGCAGTCCGTCACAAAGAAAACCCAGCTGGGTCCGGTGGGCTTGTTAGACACAATCTCTCTCTCTCTCTCTCTCTCTCTCTCTCTCTCTCTCTCTCTCTCTCCCATTCTGAATCCTTCTTCACAGGACTTATAGACAGAATCAAGAAACCTTCATGTTTCACAGCATCAGAGATAAATAAGATTATTTTGGAGTACCATAGAATAAATTTTCTTTTCAAAATATAGGCAAATGCCCATGATCTGAATTAGCATTCACAAGGGGAAAAAAAACTAACTAAAATATTGGCGGGTTTTTGTTTTTTTTTTCACATGCTTGTCCCTTGACTAAGGTACAATCTAAAAAAATGTATGTAAGAAGTAACTCCACATTAAAATGTATTAAATGTTGACTTGGCCATACCACTAAATTCAATACGTTGAAGCCCCAGCCTTCAATATCTCAACTGTGGTTGTAATTGAAGAGACTTTTTTTTTTTTTTTTCGGTGGAACCGGGGATTGAACTCAGGCCCTTGTGCTTGCCAGGGAAGCGCTTATTCTACTGAGCCATCTCCCTGGCCCCGAAGAGACTTTCAAAAAGTGATTAAAGTATAATGAGGCTTGACAGTAGCTCTAACCCAATTTCATTTGTGTCTCTAAGAAGAAACTGCACAAACACCAAAGGAAAGGTGAGGCGGCCAGGTGGGGGTGACAGCATCCCCAACTGAGAAGAGAGGGTTCAGAAGGAACAGGCCTTGCTGACACCCTGATCTTGGATGACAAGCCTCTGGGACTGTGAGAAACAGTTCTTCACTCTTTTTTTGGTACCAGGGGTCGAACTCAGGACCTTGCACTTGCCAGGCAGGCACGTAAGCCCCTGGGCTATCTTCCCAGCCCATTTTCTGCTGCTTAAATCATACAATCTATAGGATTTTGTTACTGAGCTGCTATAAAACTAATTCAAATACTCCAAAGGCTAACAAGAAAAAAAGTATTACAATATAGACATAAAATAAAGGGACTTGCATGTGACTGCTGCTAGATGTTGCGTATTATCACCAAATACATAGTGACTATTGAGAGGCCAAGGGATTCCCCAGACACACCTTGCTGTCGATGCCTTTCATTGTCAACAGGTCGAGGGACTTCAGAGAATGTCCTGTAGGCGAAATGAAGTAGAGGCACACGTGGATGCGGGAGTCATGGTACGTGAAGGAACGTTTAATTTTCAGTTCTTCTTGAAGGTAGGCCTCAAACTGGGCATCTATGTAGTCAATTATTGGTTGGTAGCTAAAAATAAACGTTTAGCATAGCAAATTAACAAATTGAATCTGATTTTTCAACCATCTGAAAAGCCGCATGCGTGCTGAACAAGTTTTTTGCTTGCTGTTGTTGTTTGTTTTGGTACACATGCCTGTAATCCCAGCACTTGGGAGGCTGAAAACAGGAGGATCACTACGAGTCCGACCTACGCAGTGAGACCCTGTACATCCTGTAGACCCTGTCCTAAAATACAAAATAAGTAAATAAATCAATAAATAAATTATCAAAAAGAGTATGAGAAGGTCCCAAGTTTGATCCCTGGTACCACCAAGAAATAAAGGAGCATGGGAGAAATAGAAAATGCAATAAAATTAGAGAAGCATCTGTTTTGTTTTGTTTTTTTAAATAAATAAGATAACCATAGTAAAAGGCATAAGGAAGGAAAGAACTTACCTAAGTCCCTGTGGGAAGCCATGCTTCACCTGAACACAATTATGGCTAAAGGCAAGAAGGACTGTGAGTGAATGCTACCCTGTAGCTAGAACGTTTCTATTTCACAGGAAAGGGGCGAACGACTGTAACACTCCAATAAGGTAGAGGGAAGGATTTTGATTTTTTTAAGGCATGTGGTTGTTAAAAGGTCTCACTATTCAGCTCAGACTCATAGTGATTCTCCTGTTTTCAGCCTCCCAAGCGCTGGGATTAGAGGTGCACACAACCACGCCCAGTCTCAGTCCCGACTCAGCGTGCCCTGGGGGCGGGGCTGGCACAGCACTCCAGGGATGGAACCCCCATCCCTGCGCCTGCCTAAGCAGACGCTTTAATCTGCTGGCCAGCCTTCAATTTTTGTTTTCATGTATCAGGATGGTATTTGAAATTTTATTCACAGTTTTTCTAAACTTTATTTTATAAAAACAAAACACAACATGACACCTGCCTTCTTAAGAAATACTGAAATGCTGGACGTGGTGGCTCACACGTGTAATCTCAGCACTGAGGAGGCTGAGGCAGGAGGAGCTGCAAGTTCAAGACTAGCCTGTGCTACAAAGTGAGCTCAAGGCCAACCTGAGCTGTGCAGTGAGACTCTGTCTCCAAAAGACATTTTTTAAAAAAGCTGAAACATACATCATTGTTAGCTACAGGTACAATGTCCTGCAGAAGATTAGTGCGGTGTATTCTTTTTGCTGAGCTAAACCTCATGTGTTGGGCCAGGGAGATAGCTCAGTAGAATAAGCATCTGCCTGGCAAGTGCAGGGTCCTGAGTTCAATCCCCAGTACTGCATAAATTAATAAATAAATCTTGCATGTTAAATTTTTAGCTCCCCAGTTCCTCCTTGGGCACTATGAGTTTGGTTGTTTTAAGTAGTTTATATAAGCAGAATTACACAGTATTCATCTTTCTGTGGCTGCTGCACTTCAAATAGCATAATCTCCACCAAATTCATCATTTATTGAATATTACAAAAGATTTCTCCTTCTTCCTCCTGTCCCCTCCTTCCTCTTCCCTCCCCCTTTCCTCCTTCTCCCTTTCCTTTCCCCCTTCCCTGCTCCTCCTCCTCCTCCAGCTGGGGTTTCTGAAGCTGGCCAAGCTGGTCTCAAATTTGTGAGCCACCTACCTCAGTCTGCCGGCAGAATTTCTTCCTTTCTGAGGGCGATTAACATTGGACCATATGTGCCTACCACAGTTTCTTAGCCCTTTCATCTGTTATAGGACATTTAGTAGTTTATACGTCTTTGCTATTATGAATACCGCAGTAATGAATATGGGGGTGTTGATATCTCTTTGAGCTCCTGATTTATTTTTTTTAAGTATAACATTCAATTTATTATTTCTTTCTTAAGAGAGTTTTCTTCAGTCCATTAAGACTCAGCTCCCCTTACATGGGCTTTGGTGGAGGTCCTGGGGCAGCACCCTGGGGGCCGGGGAGATGGCTCAGTAGGATAAGCGCTTGACTGGCAAATGCAAGGATCTGAGTTCAATCCCCGGTTCTGCCAAAAAAAAAAAAAAAAAACAAAAACAAAAAACAACTCTAAATTGGGGTGGAGGAGATCGGTCCTTATGGGCTTCACGAGATCGATTTCTGACCACTTTGCTGTGAATGGCACAACTCACACAACAATGCAGCTTCACATACAGCTTGGGAAGCACATAACCATCGAAGACACTCGCTTCGGAAATGTCCCTGACGGTGGCGGCCTCCACTATGTTCCAAATGACAAACTTCTTAATAGCTTTATCCTTGGGTACGCACCGGGCGCAGTGTGCAGTGAGTAGGCTGCACATGACCGCGGCCCTTTTTGGCACGACCGTTGTTCCTTCTTTTTTTTTTTCCGTCATCTTGGAAAAGAGGACCCGAAAGATCCTGATTTAAATTTTCATGACTGGGTGTGGTGGCACATGTCTGTAATCCCAGCACTCAGGAGGCTGAGACAGGAGGATCTTTGAGAGTTTGAGAACAGCCTGGGCTACAAAGTGAGCACAAGGCCAGCCTGAACCGCATAGGGAGACCCTGTTCTCAAAATAAATAAATATATTTTTATGTAAAGACCAGATGTGAGATATCTATATTTTTACATTTTGGAAGAATCTCCTAGTGTTTTACCAACAGTGCACCAGAGTCCCCCTTTCCCTACGTGTTCATTAGCTCTTATTTTATTGATAATACCTGTTCTAGCTGAGGTGGTATCTTATTGGGGAATTCATGTTCATTTCTCTTATAACTAGTAATATTGAGTATCTTCCCATATATTGGTCATAAAAGGACCATTTATACTAACATTCCATAAAAACTAAAGTGAGTATGTATTTAAAGGCTGGGTCTTTATGCCAAAAATTACAAAATACTACTAAAAGGAGATTTTATTTTTATTTTTATTTTTTATGTATTTTGGTACAGGGTCTCACTACAGATTGGACTTGTAGTAACCCTGCTGTTTTCAGCCTCCCAAGCACTGGGAATACAGGCACGCGCTACCACGCCCAGTCTTAAAAGGGGTTTTTAAAACATCTAGACACAGGATGAAACCAGGCTCACGGATCTGGCAACTTCACATGAAGATGTTGTTCCTCAACAATTATATCTGTTGAGTCAAAATAATCACCTCAGAAGCCACAGAAAGCTCTTTTATAGATAATGACAACCCTATTCTAAATTTTATATAATAAGGAAAGAGACTTAAGAGGCATTAGTAATTATGAGAAAAGAAAAAGACGACTGGACGATTCACACTGCCATATTTTAACACATTCTATGATCGAGACTGTGCTATGTGAGAGAAATGACAGACAAGTGACTTCATGAGACAAAATAGATCCCAAGAGATGCACAGAAATATAACCTACAGAGGGCTGGCCAAATAGCTCAGAGGATCAAAGCACCTGCAAGCAGGCTCAGGGGCTGGGGGTTCGATCCCTGGGGCCTGCTGGGCAAGGCCCCACCACCAGGGCGCAGATACGGCAATTGAGACTGGGCTTGGTGGCGTGCGCTTGTAATCCCAGCTCTTAGGAGGCTGTAAACAGGCAGCTCACTATGAGTCTGATCTACGTAGCGAGACCCTGAACACCCTGTAGACCCGTCAAA